GGGACGATTTTAGGAAAGTTTTTTATGCTTTAACCAATAAGTAAATACCTTGTACAGGGGCGACACCGACTTGGTGTCTTATACTTCAATATACATTCTTTTTATCTCAAAAAAAAAAATTTGTAATTTCCTTTTACTTCTCTTTATTGTTCTGTTTCTCACATAAATTTTCTCCTTTTCTAACCTATCCGCCAGACAAGTTGATTTAACTGCTGCATCACCTCAGAACCTTCAAAAGGCTCCACCATTAGGTATTATGAAATTAACAAAGATGCTTCTATTTTCAGGTCTCAGCCCAGTGCGTCTCGTGTGTGGTTTCTAGAAAGTCGAGTGGACAAGTCATGTTCTCAAGCCTCCAAAATCCAAACACATCTAACAGTTCTTATTGCTGAAGGCCTTGCAACCTAACACAAACTGTCATCGGCTTCTACTTTTGGTCACAATGCTTTCGTTATTAAAAGCGACGTTGCGGGTGGTCATATCAACATCGCAATCCCGTTTCGTGGATCTTAGGAGTTCTCTCTTATTTCAGATAACATGAGTCATCCTATTTTGCTTCTGCACAGTTCTCGTGTTCCTGGGAGGAAATTAGGTTACCCATGCTTTGGCATACGATGCTCAATCTAATTTAGATGAGTTCATTTAGAAGAAGCACCTAAAGGTACTGCTTCTCTACTCCTGCTTAATGTTTCTCGGTTATATATCTAAGATATTTCCATCTTTGTTCTCCAGAAAAGAAAACCAACAGGTTCAAAAGATTTACATGTAAACATTTATGTCCACCTCACACAAACATGAACCTGAATGCAATGCACAAAAATACATAAATCTACGAAGATGACGTTGATCGAGCAACTAGAATTAATTAGTAAACTAGTAGCCCCTCAAAATTAATTATCAAACTTATGTAATAATTCCTCTACCCCAAAAAGAATAATTAAAAGATTTTCTCTGAAGATTTTCAGCCCTGATACACATCTTGGCATATAAATACTTACCACATTTTATTTTGTTCTGATCATTAGCAAAAAGTCTCACCAGTTCTCCCTGGAACATAAACAATTTTACAAAGTAAATAAGAGAATATTCTCATGTCAATTAATAAGGAAGAGGATAACGTTTGAAAAAAAGTTGAAATCTGATTTAACATGAAAGCATTATGGTAACTAAGCTCTCGAAAATGAAATGAGGTTCATAATCAAGTTCGTTAGTACGAGTAGGGTAAATATACACAGAAATCTACTAATACAGCCAAATGTATCTATATAGTAACAAAACAATGTATCTGTATACAGTAACAAAGCAATGGAAATTTAATGTATCTATATAATTTATAGTAACATGAATCCTTGCCATAATCTCATTAGTCTCATTTGCGAGATAGATAAATTATTCTCTTTTTAAATAAAATACAAGTCATATCAAAACCACCTAACAGTTAAAATACAAAAAAATGTTGGAACACAAAACGTTATCAAGACTTTGTTTGGGAATGGGGAAGAGAATGTCAAGGAATGGAATGGCACAGAACCGAGGAAGCGAGCGAAATGAATTAAATGACAACATATTTTTCTTTTGGATAAAATAGTAATAAAAATAAAGGGTCAAATATTTTACACTGTTTGGATAGGAGGTAAAAGAGAAGACAACAAGAAAATCTTAAAGTGTAAAAGACAATCTTTATTTGGAAAAAAAAAAAAAGAGAAGAGTAATGAACAAAATATGATTAATTTAGCCAAAACAAGATGCTTTATTTCAGTCTCTTTTCTATTCTATCCATTCTTCCCTAATTTGAAGGAAAAGAATATTAGGCCATTGAAGAGTAACAAGGATCAAATTTTCACCCTCAAGATGTTTCCACTCCTTTAATGACTGACTTCCCAAACAAAGTTAAAAATTTTACACCTTCCATTATCTCATCATCCCCAGAACATATCACAAGGCAAAATTAATGGATCTTCAAGATAAAATGCAACAATTATGTCTTCTCTATAAAAAAGATAAAAAGTAACTACTCATCTAGTATAAATTTATTCGAGATTAGGCCAAATTAACTGTCAACAAAATAAAATTGCTAGTTTATGTGCTTCATATAATCTAGTATTTTTTATATTTAATACATATATATATATATGCACACAAATATGTATATATATATATATGTATATATAACTTTTGAGTGAAAATGTTTGTCACATATTGCAGGGTTGGTGAAGGCCGAACTCCTTGCTTGGGAGGGACTTACTGCTAAAAACAAGTTTTACAGACTAATCCCGCTAACAATCTTCTGAATTGTATGGAAAGAAAGAAATAATAGAGTTTTTTAGGGTATTGAGGTGAATTTTGCTAATATCAAGGACAGATGATTACACTATTTTGGTTCTATTATTTTAGAACACAACCTTGATAGTTTGAAAGATTTTCGTTTCATTGTAAATATTCTTACTAATCTGTAAATCTCTCACATTTTATACACGGACGGCGCTCCCTTCGGTGCTATATATACATTCACACTTTTATTTAAAAGAAAAACATATCATTAATCATATAAATTATTTTCTATAAAAAATAAATATTATGACAAATACGATAAATTAAATTTTGAGCAAATTACTGTTTTGATCCCTTAATCACAGATGATGCTACAATTAGATCCCAATTGATATTCTTCTTACAATTTTGGCACTAAACTTAAAGAATTGTTCCAAAGCATGATTTTTTAATGAAATTGTGAAAAATTGACAAAAATTCTTTCTAGTTTCCCATATATTTTTCTTATGTTTCTGTGGAGTCAGAAAGTTATAGTAACTGAGGACTAATTTTAATAAATTTAATGGTAAACGGCAATAAATTTACTTATTTCAACAATACATATTATAATAATAAAATTTTGAAAAGAAAAGACGTATACATGAACTAATCTTAATTCACTTCTGATAGAAGTTTTATTCCTCTCAGTTATTGTTTTATGTAATCCAAAAAGATAGGAAGAGCTTCTAATGTTTTCATAAAATTATGTTTTGAAATATTTTTGTATATTCAATTACTAAATTGTAAAAAAAGAAAAAGTTAAAGACATAGCCACTACTTCGGAAACTAAAGTGATAATTTACCATTAAATTTTTATGCTTTACCCTATCATTGTTATTAAATAAATTAAGTACCCATATTAAAATTTTGTTCTAACGAATTTGAAAAAAAAATATTATTTTTTATGATATCTATATCGTTAAATGTGATTTAGAGAGAAACTGAATTTCTTGCATATTGAGAATGAGTATACATATAGTTATATTTAGTTGTTAGACAGAGAAAAGATAGAAAATAATTATAATAAATAAAATCTTCATAAGAGTGAGATTCTCTAACTAGTATTTCATAACTTTAGCAATATTAATTTCCCAATATTTAGACAGAAGATTAATGGAGTTTTTAACATATCTCTCAAGCTGGTGAATAAGAATTTTTTATTCCCAACTTGGAGATAAACCCACAGAATGTCACAATATTGAGTTACTTTATCAGCATATCTGCAAGTTGACCATTAATTGAGATATATAGAGTACAAATCAATTAATATCCAACTTTCCTTAATAAAGTGTTTATCAACTTCAATCGTATTTGATTCTATTGCATTCCTTAGGATTATGAGAAATTTAAATAGTTGATTTGTTGTTATAAATCTAATTCTAGCAACTATTTGAAGAAGATCTCTCTAACATGTGATTGCCTAATTAATAATTTCAATATAGAAACAATTAAGTCAAAAACCTATTTCATTTATTTGTCATCGTAAAGAATATTAGTACTATATTCTAGTTAGCTCACATATGCAATAAACAAATTCAAGTTTCACATTGATATTCGAATACTTGAGAAATTGATCACCAACCAACGACGAAGTGGACCTCTCATTGCCTTAGTTGACTCCTGCTATAGTTTCCAGAGAAAGAACCTTAACTTAGCCCAAAGACAAAGTTCACTTATCCAACGAGGAAGGTTAGTAAATGCTACGGAATTCAAAATCAAATAACGTGATCAAAAACCCCACATATACTTTAGTGTTCAAAATCTTTAAACTCTCAACAAACCCTCCCTACTTGAACTACATTTAACACATGAATGTCAATCAAAATAATCGAGATGATGATTTAAATTGATTAAATGCTATAAGATGAAATCTTGATAAGTGAAATCAATTCAAAAAGGATTGATAAAGAGTCATAAAAATTTATCTTAATAAGTTAAATCAATTCTCACTCAACAAAAAGGTTAAAAAAAACTTCACTAGTTAAAAACTAAAAACTCATAATTTTATTATTTTGAAACTTGAATGAATACAACTAGGAATTGAAAATATATTTACAAAATAGGTCATGTGCATTACATTAAAATAAATTTCCTAAATTAATTGTATAAATTACAAGAAAATTAAATTTTGTCTTAAATGAGAAAATAATGAAAATTAAAAATACTTTGACTAGAATAGGTTAGATAGGATATTCTTTTTAAATGATAATATTTTAATTAATTGTGGAGGAATTAGATAAAGTAAATATGGTCAATTAAGACTGGTCATTAAAGAAGCAAAGAGGTCACCGATATCTTTTCTATACCATGGGATTCATTTCTTTAAGGAATGAGATTTGATTTTCTCTTCCTTTAAAATATCATATGGTTTATGAAGAAGTCTCCTCTCTTGGCTGATTCTCCCTTTTTTTTCCCTTTCCTTGCTGACATCATCCTCTCCCTCTTCAAAAACAACTCATTCTCGAATCAGATACTTCTTATGTAAAGATTTCACTAATTCTACTTTTTTTGAGAAAATTTTATCGGCTAGTACATTGTATAAGGTCATTGCAAAAATCTGTAAGGAATGATTAGTAAAAAAATAACACTTTCTCATATGTTTCACCTATGTTTTACTCAACCTCATTCCTTCAAGTTGAATGTCAAAATCAAATTTCCTTAAATCAATATAACTCAGTTTTGTTTATGACTTTAAATAATCCTAGAATAGCAAGTGTCAAAATAATTCTAAAAATAACAGTTAAAACACAAGAATGAATATAATGTGTGTTTTATGTATTATG